TGTTGCTGTTGCTGTTGCTGCTCCTGCTGCTGCTGCTGCTGCTGTTGTTGTTGTTGGTTGTTGCTGATGTTGTTGCTGGTGTTGTTGCTGGTGTTGTTGATGGTGTAGCGGTTCGGCTAGTTGTTGAGGTTCTTACGGCTGTTGCTGTGGTCTAGTCTGCCATGGTACTTTGCATCTGCAAAGAACAATGCGTCAGGGCCTCCTCTGAGGAACGCCTACAAACTATTGACCTGCGTCACACGGAATCACTGGGCATCAAGAATGCCTCTATTCGGCGGTCTTCCTCGGAGCAGGTGGTCCAATCGTTGAGCCATTTCACCATGCTCTTCGACAGATAGAGGCCGTCCGCATCACCCAAGCCTAAGTCCTTAGCTTTCCCTGCGCATGTTGCAAGTAGCTGTGGCTTGCTACGCAGTATACCAAACCTCTCTATGAAGCTCTGAGGTTGGATGCGCTGTCAAGCATCTACCTGAAGGAGCCCCTTACCTGATCCGAGGCGGATCTGAAAGACAGCCGGGATGTCCACCAGAACGAGGTGTTTAGCAATCCGATGCGCAAGCTTCATTCCGATCCGCCCACAGCCATCCGTCAGCACTTCACCCCTACGACTTACAAGGTCCGGCACCTCACGGATCTGATCCGCTCTGCACACAATGGTTCCTGTGGCGCTGGAGAAGCCCAGTAACAAGCGCTTGTTGTACTTAGCTGCTGACTCTGCCAGAAGCTTGAGTTCAGCACACTTTGGCACAAGCTCTCTTCGAGCCTCATCGGCCGTGCAGTTCGGAAAGCTGGCTGCTGCAAGCTCGTGCTGTTGAGCCGCATTCCAAATATCCGGCAAGCCACGGTACATTCGCAACACTTCATCTCGCTCTTTCTCCCAGGGCGAAGTTGCAAAGAACACATACTTTTGCTCTGCATCCGGCTGGTCATCCTGCATCCTGTCTCGCTTCTTCCCCTTAAAGGCCAGCAGCTCCCACCTGCGACCCAACCATGAAAAAGGCTTCAAATACCTCACGAGGTTGGCGTGGCTGAGGTCATCTGAACCCCTTTCCTTGACTCTGAGAGTGATGTACAAGAACCGGTCATCTCCGAACTTGCCTCGGGCGCATCACTGGCACAGAGTTAGATTCTAGTCAAAGCAGGCCCTTCCCCTGAGGCCTAGCTTGGGGGAAAAACCTGCACAAATTGAAACCTGCTTTCCACGGCCTCGGTGCGGTGAAAACGGTTCGCGATGCCACGCTGCACCTCGTGAGACTGGAATTCCTTTACAACGGAGTCAGCAGAGTAGTGGTGAACGGTCATGACAGCATTGTAGAAGGCGCTGCCGGTCTGCGGGTTCGGGTCATCTGCCAGGACCGCTGGGCTCTCTTTGCCATGTGATATAGGGTCTTGTTTGAGCGCGGATTCTTTCCGACAGCTCTCCCAGTCAACAAGGAGGCCGAACAACTGATTGAAAGCTGCACATCTCTTTTCTGTTGGTGAGTCGGTTCTCTGGCGCTTTGCAGCAGTTTGGCAATGATGCACTCGTGGAGATGTGCCCTCCATAGAATCCATCAGCGGCCATTGCTTGGCGACGCACCCACCTGGACTCACACAATGGGCTTGTTGGCAGTGTTCGACATGACGATTGTGATTGTCTGCTTGTAGGAACAATATGCAAGTCTTGCCCCCTGGCTGCAAAATGTGCATGTTTATACGTGCATGCCTGCAGCAAGAAACCGAATGCAGAAGAGGATCAACCGACAAGTGCAGAACAAACACCAATCTCTGGCTCGCAGTCCTCCGCGCAAAGTCCTTCCAAGTCAACTTTATGACTCCGAGAACTGCAGCCAAACAGCTGACCGGGCCCTCTTGGCTCGATGTTTTTAACTCTGCTGAGTCAAGGCTAGACTAGGTCATCCACCACTAAACAGGTGGCTGAATGACGAGGAGCTCCTCACGCGGATCCTCACAAAGGCAGTCCTGGCCGGATTGCTGGAAGCATTGCTGCAGTCGTCTGTGACAATGTCATTTCCCGTCCGATGCTACTCTTGGTGATGTTGTTACCCTGACCAGCCATGCATAGGGCCTTGGAGCACGTGAAGATAACCGCACTGCCCCACTCCATTCCGAGAGCGTTCAACTTCGCCGAGGGAACCTTGGTGAGGGCCAGAATGGCTTCAGCAAAGCCGGGATGAACGTGCAACCTCGTGCACAGCCGATGTAAAGAAGGCGCCCTCTCTATCTGCCTCTGTTCTTCCTTCCCTCATCATCTATGCATACAAAACTGTATGTATAAGAGTTGAAACATGCATAATGCAACGTTCCATGCGCGAGCACATGTCAACATACCATATGTATGACAATGTACATAGTACATACATATATATATGTATATATGTATATAAAAGTATAAGTATGTGTATATATATATATACATGTACGTGTGTCAATGTACGCATGTGTGTGTATATAGACAGACAGATCCACATATGAACAAACAACATGTTATTGGCAGACAGCTAGGCAGTCGGATGGGTGGACAAGTAGTCGAAGAGGTTAACACACCATGTGCCATGCAATCCTAAAGATCACCTACCTAGCTACCAAACAAGTACCAAGTAACCCTTATCCCCTGAACTCTATGACGCTGAAGTCCTACAGCGTATATTATGACCCTTGCAACCCCTGCATCCTTAGCCCCATAACCCTAAAGCTAAAGACCTATGCCTGCAACCCTAAATAATGCATCAGGCGGCGGCTTGAGAAAGCTGCGCGTGGAGCGTGGGCCTCTGGGCTGAGAGGTGCACACACGTACTTAAAGGTCCGCAAGTGGTCCCAGCATACATACGTACATGCGCACATACCTACATGCCTACATCATGCTTACAGCTGCATACAGGATATGATGACATCTGCCGTCTTTCCGTAGTACGAGCTTCTGCCTCTCTCTCGCTACTAAACTCACCACATATGTTATTATGCATATACACATTAAGTATTGTAGTCTAGTAGCTGGGGATGTATGTAGGTAATTGTCTATACTTAATACATATATATATATAATTTTTTCTATGTATATGTGTGTGTGCCTGTATGTATGCATACATTACATTCCATTACAGTACATTACTTTACATTACTTTACATTACTTTACATTATTTTACCTTTACATTTACATTTACATTTACATTACAACATCACGCTACACTACATTACTACATACATACATATGCAGTCGACTGCAACAAACTTGGGCCTTAAAGCTACAGCGTCGGAAGTCCGTGGATACTACGGAAATGGACACTATACAAGGTACTTGGACACTTGGGAATCCAAAGAATTCTGAGGCAAGCGCAGCAACTGAAGCTCGAAACAGCGACTGGCACCTCAATGACAAGGACAAGCAATCATGAGCAACTGGGCTTCTCCACGATCCATGGACGATGCAAGGCCTTGCAACTGCGTCTGGCACTTGGTCAAGATGCCACCCAAGTCGCCGCAAACACAACTAGGAAGCTTCGAGGTTGGCGGTGCCTTGCGAAAAGGATCAAAAACCGGCAATTGCTGATGATGGTGATGACGAGGCGAGGAACAGCCTTGAGGGTGAAAGCGACGCTGTCGTTCTTGTTGCAGGTGATGATGCAAATGTGTTTGTTGAATCATTGAAGGACTGGAGATGACTAGTATGCTTTTTTTGCACTTACAAACATGCCAGGGGGTGCAATCAAATACGACTACGATGATGGTAATGCTGGTGATCCTTACGAACGATTGTCGCTACGGAAACAGCAAACATGAATCTAGTTATGATACTTGTGGTGAAGGCAATCACGATACGACGTGTATGGCTGCTAGCAGCACTAATTAGTTGCAGCAGGTAACAAGAAGTAAGCCCTCCGGGTATTGAGCTATATAGCTGCTGATCTCTGCAATGGTTGGAGTAAGAACTTCGGAAACATCTTTCGGGCTCATTGCGGTGAATGTCGAGCATCGTCGTATGAAGCCGCAAAGGGGGAACAAACTCCTGGCTTCAATGCAGCTTACCATCACAACATGACTAATGCAAGGGCCTGTATAATCAGAACAGGATTTTAGCCATGCGATATGGATTGAGAGTCTGAAAGGGAACAATTTTGGGGGGATTGTTCCGACCCCGATGCTATGAAGTCCACGAGGATGCTCTACGGCCTCCGCCCTCCTGGATCAAGGCCCCCTTGCCCTGCGTACACCCCGGGCCCTGATACCTGAGGTCAGAACATGCAGCCACAAAGGCTCGCCGCCCCAGCAGTACCTGATGACCTGGTTCGGGTTAACTAAGGGCTCAGGGTTCTAGACGCAAAACTTATCATGGCCCTTGCAATCCGCATTAACCGTCTCTCTGCAATGTTGGGTGCTGCCTCCTGCAGTTCGAAAACCCTCATGTGCATGAATGTTGTGTATGTATGTACGTATGTATGTATGTACGTACGCACATCTGTATGTATTCTGTATGTATGTACATATGTATGTATGCACATGTCTGTATATGTATACTATGAAAATATCACTCGATCAGAACCTCGAAGCGGAGAGCTTTAACCGGCAGAAGCCTAGACGACTGAAGTTCTGCTCCTGAACCCTATGAACCCTGAACCCTATAAACCCTACACCCTAAACCCTGAACCCTAAAGCCCTAAAACCCTACAGCCCTACACCCCAACCCCTCTTAGAACCCTAAAAAAGGAGCCTTAGCCCCGAAGCTGACAGACGGCCTCTGCGTC